TCAACCTGTAGACACCTGATTTTTGAGATTTTGGACATTTCGTTTAATTGTTTTTTAAAAATTTTCCTATTGTGTTCTTAGTTCCCAAAGCTATTTTTAAACCACATTTTGACAAATGTTTTGAAACTTTTTTACTGGGTTCTCCTATGTATGTCACACTGAATCACGAGGTTCATTGCTCTAAACTCCATTACTTCGGTCTTAAAAGTTGGCCATTTGTCTCAAGCAATTTAAGTGAATGAAGTCAGAGAGTATAATTATGCTACTCATTTTCACCGTTTTTGTTTCGGGGGGTTCCGTAAGGAAGTATATTGAACCCCTTATTGTTTTCTGTCTATACCGCGGATCTTTCTGACCATTTAAAATATCTGAAATCGCATCAGTATGTCGATGATATGCAGTTTATCTTTATCGTTTAATTTTGAAAACTCACTGCTGATCAACAGCCACATTAATTCTGACTTGCGACTGTTTTCAAAAATTTCTTGTGCCCATGCTCTTATCATAAATGAAACGAAAACTGAGGTACCATTTTTTTGAAAAAAACGATAGTTCGTGCAGGAACATTGGTTTGAAGGTCTTAAATAATGAGAATATTTTTTGAATTGCACGTATCTTATTTACTGCAGAGAAGCTATGGAAAACAAAGAACTCTCTATATATTCATAGATATTTTAAATACAGACATCAAATCAAAGGTTATGCGACCCTCTTATTCTTTCCCTTTTATTTTGTAATTGTATTTATATAACCTCTCCTTCACAGTGATATAATCGAGTCAATGTAAATTAATTCATAAAATCTCGTCATTTAGGGTAGTTAGGTCACTAACTTTGCTAGATCTCGTCACCCTTCTATCTTATACTGATTTATTTATTATTGTTTATAGATATATAAATAAAGACCCGTTGTTATTGTTATTATTATGATTATTATTATTATTAACCCGTATAGTCGTCACAAATGAACTTTTTTTTATAAAACTCTCTTTCCTTCGGCAATCAAATTAAACTGATACTTGGCGGACCGAATTTTTTTTTACGCGCCGGCTTTTGGAATGTAAATTAAAATAGCGTTTCTTTTTTTACGATTTTGTTTAGCTAAATGGAAATGGGCGAATAATATAACTGTCCAAAAGGATGATGCGATTAGTAAACGCCTGCAGACATTTTTACGGTCGGCCATAAATAATTATGCATATAATTACTAACCAGGTGTTTCTTTTATTTTGACATTTAGACATCGCTCGGTTACGCTTTAGCAGACCGGAAATTTCGGTAGCCGGATATCATAAAATATCCAACGTTTCGAAATCTGATTCATTTTAAGTTTAACGGGAGAGCCCTTCTTTTTATAGTGATCGATTATCTGCCGAATTTTTAACGAGTCTAATCAAGATAATTTACTAAATACTAACAACATTTATGTGAAATCAAAGTTTTTAAATTTTTTAGGAAATGATAGGTCAGAATTCATATTTGACGCGCCTGCGCATCACTGAAGGTTGGCGAAAATGGCAGTAAACGCTTCTCTATTCCTTGCCGTTATCAATAGGATATCGGTGTCTAATCTTGTCCACTCTGTTTTCGTCGTCTGAGACCCTTCCGGCCTTCTATCTTTCCTTCTATGATTAGTCTCAAAAGTTGATATCCTTCTTCTCTGTATATATGTCCTAAGTAGCTGATTTTGCGCAGTCTAATGTGCTACAGGAGTTCTATGTCTGCACCCATCATTCTTATAACATTCTCATTTGTCATTCGTTTTGTCCATGGAGTCTTAAAAAGTTTGCGGAAGACCCACATTGCAAGTGCTTGCATTATTCTTTTTCCCATTGTCAAAGTTTCCGCGCCGTATAAGAGCATAGAATAAATGCATGTTTTCACAAAATGGTATCCAGTATCCAGTGACAGGGTAGTATTTGTTAGGAATGTCTTTATTCTCACAAATGTGAATCTGGAATTTCGGGTAATCCAGCACCCACGATATTTAAACTTTCTCACCAATTCTATTTTAGTATCGTATATTCGTATATTGGCTAGTAAGTTTGATATGTGCTGATGATCATCACCTTTGTTTTTAATATAATAATTGTCAGGCTATGTTGATCACCTGATTCTACAATGTTCTGAAGTATCTGCTTAGCGTATATTGTTAAATATTTTACCGTTCACCTTTATGCCAATTTCGCTGTTCTCTAGTCCTTGTTGAAATATATACTCGCAGTAAATGTTAAATAAAAGAGGTGAGAGAATACAGCCCTGTCGCACTGTTCGACTTATTGCTGTTTATGACGATACGGTGCCACCAAATCGAGCGAAGTGGCTTGGCTTGGTTAAAAAACTAAGTCATTTTTTAACCAATGGCCAAAAACAAGACGTTTTAAAAATTGCAAAAAGTTACCGATTACCCTTATTCGACTAAAGGATGTGTGATAGATAATTTTATCTTTTCTCTTTTATGGCAAGCGCAAAAATTTATCCAAGAAGGTACATATTTTTCATCAAAAAGAAACCTTACATACATAAGACAAAATATAAGATTTCCTTCACTCTACACACCCCTTAGCAATCATTCACCCATTCTCCCACTTATTCTGAAAGGAGAATATTGTTTCACTCAACAATCATGTGGGTTTTTAAATTTGCTTTGATGGGTAATAATAGAAGTACAATAGAGTCTGAAAAGTGATTATAAAATTTAATACGCATTACATAGCTCATGGAACGAGGCCACCCATGCTGTAATGTAAACGTGGACAGGGAAAGATTCTTTTTTGGGTAATCATTGCCTCCCCGATGTGCACACTGTCACTCCAAGTGACGTTACAATATGATAGTGTACATAATAGCACAACCTCTCTATTTATAGATTCCTCAGTTTCTACATAAACATAAAAGAGTACTTATTCATTTTTTTATTAACTGACTTGACATGACTCTCCCAAGATAGGTTAAGTTTATGGACAACAATTTTATGACTTTACTCGAATAGAACGCCTGTCTGAGATTATAAAACTACTTCTTTCCGAATATCTAGAAAAGTGACTGATATTCAAAGTTAGGTCATTCCCATCACCAACGAACTGTTCATTCCTTGCATCAGATTTAACTGATGAACATCAGAACAAGAGCCATATTATCTGAAAAAACTGATAGCTGTCCCATATATTTAATGGGCTATGGTACATCGCTTTCTATATCCGTTTCTCTAAATATGAAGATAGTCAACTATAAAGCAGAGCCCTCACTCCACATTTAATGAGTTTCCGCGTTAAGCCTTCATGATTAATCAAAAAACAAGTCAGTAACTTTAAGTTTTTCATTCAGTTTCTTAACGATCAAGTTTACTATTACTTTTTGGAAACCGAACTAACTCTTAAATAAGTTATTAAACTTACTTTTAAACTTAATAGCCTAACCGGCATTACATAAAAAAAAATAATTTTTAATATTGATTTAATTGTTAATGGTCCACCACACTGCTTGTTATGCATTGCCAATAATTTGCTTGTACTTCTTAAGACGTTATTTAAAATTATTAGTAATTATCATTAGTACATTTAACCAGTTTGTGATACTTTTCAAAAAAAAATTACCTTGAAAATATGAACACTTGCCGAGGGAATACGATAAAATCAAGAAATCAGTAAAGGTCTGCAGTTATGAAGCACATTTCACAAAAAGCTGCACTGAATCAATTTGCTCAAGAGAATCATCAATATTTCTGGCCTCCAAGCCATCTCTTCGCCCCAGCCTCGGGACTTGACTCTGCAGTAAGGGTCTGTCAGTTGGTAAGATTCGATTTTTATTGTTTTAATTTTAGCAAATTAATTCGCCAGTACTCTAAACATCCTCGATTTTTCGCAATATCAGCTCACAACTCATTATATAGGTATTAATTGACACTAATTATGATTTCAATCGAATAAGGATACCTTAGCAACTACAAAAACACATAAAATGAGTCTTAGAAATATTGTTTGAACAGCGGAAATGTCAATTTATGTAGATTCTTGAAAATCTTACCACAACAATGATATAAAAAAATCGAAGAGTCTATCTACGCTCCCAACCAATACACTCTATGCAATACATTGTTGTATTTCTACATGAACGAAGTTGATTTAACTGTAATATAATTATTGTAGAAACAGATAAAAATTCATTAGAAGAATTGGTACTTGATTAGATAAGGTCCGCATTTTGAATGTTCAACAATTCTTTTTTAATCTCAACCATCTTAAATGTTATATTGTTTGATTAACTAGCTAATTAATTTTGTAAGTTCTGTTAAATTTAGCGACAAATTTCAGAGTAATTTACTATTCTTGAAAAAATAAAAATGTTACTCCCTTAGGAGAGATTCGATTGGTTGAATTCTTGAAAGCAGGGAAAAGAAGTAAACCAGAGAAAAAGGATTCTACGGATTTGTCAATAGCAACACCAGTAAACATCAATTATTTTATCACCCACACCCACCTCCGCATATTCTATTATTCTAAAAGTGTATGGTTTTAACCTATCCTTTTTAATGAAAACAAAGGAGAGTAGTGGACCGGTAATAGGTAATGCCACTGTTACATTTCATTGTCCTTTCAAGGTTCCTATCGACTCTAATCAAATGAGTACAAGATATTTAGCGTCGAATAAAAAGATCTGATTCAAGTTTGTTGAGGTGATAACGTGAATAAGCAGAAGAAACGAAAAAAAAAAAAACAATTTGGTATTGGCTCTTCTTCATTTCTATCATTCATCCTAGGGGGCAAAAATATTAATGAGGGAAGCACGTCGACTTTTGCAAATTTACCTACAAGATTTGTATTCCCCAAAATTGGGGAATATCGAACCAGAGAGATTGATTGTGGCACTTTGTTAGTCTTTTTAAGTATATCAATATTTGTTCCTAAAAGTTTATTGGCCCATTATGGACTGAACAATAAGTTGAAGAAGTGTGGATATCTTTTATATACCAAAAAACCTTTTGAGATTAGCGACGCTTACCTTGGACTGGAACAATCTCCTGAAACCCTCCCTCGTGAACTTTTGCTCCTGAGCCACGATCTCCTGGCATCCCCTCAAATGCGCCATACGCAGCCTTTCCCTCAGGTTCTCCTCTTCCATGCTGCTCATCGGTACCAGTGATCTTCTTCTGGCTGCCAACTGTTCGTCCACCACCGGTTTATTATTACTACAAGAAGGCTTTTTTTCAGCGTCACAATGCGTCCCGACGCCTATCGAACGCGACTGGATCGTCTTTTTCGCGATTTGTTGATCTTTAATTAGATCCAATGTTTGGGTTACGCTCGTTCCGCCACTGTTTCGACTTGCTGTTTCTGGAAGGTCGTAAAAACGAAGAATTTATTCGCGTAGTTATATAGGCGGGGTTTATTTTTAGTTACCCCGCGTGGGGTCCCGGGGGAATATCCTATTGTTCAGATTCGAACGAAACTCGAATTTCCTTGTTTAGTTCTACGAATTTAGATTGACGGGCAAAATATTTGTTTTGGGATTTTTAAATTCAATTCACCTCTATTTATCATCTTTTCTCGCCGTTGCTCTGTGATATATAGAAATAGAAGAAATAGAAAAGGATATTAACGTGCGTTTGGTGTCTTTTTTTCCTTAATAGTGGTAATAAAAATCCTAATATTCAACAAATATATGTTAAACATACGGTGTGGTCATTTTAGTGTGCAACATATGGGAACTGTACAACTGAAAGACTAATATTGCCAAAAGTTGATGCATGTTCCATAATCACGGCATACAGGGTATAATAAAAAATAAAAAAATTGCACACTAGTAAAATACCCATATTTCCAAAAATTTAGCAAAATTGTATTAAGAAAATTTGTTAAGAATTAAAAATTATGTCGTAATATCGAAACAGGGTCTAATATGATAAAAAAACTTTTTTGTTCCAAAAATATCAATAATTTCCTTATTACTTTTATCATCATAAATAATTTTATTGTAGTAAATCATTCAAAATCAAATCAATTAAGCAATTTTTTTTTCAATTCCATATAAATTGTAAAATCAACTAAGAATTTAATTTTTTTAGAGAAACAAAAATGTTATGTTCTTTGCAACTATATTTAATACACATTTCAAGTAAATTTTGTTATTTTAAATAACTATTATTACAAACATTTAGTATTATAAAAATACGTGTAATTGCACGATCATAAAATTTGCTAACGGTTGATCTTAGTACATTGTGTTCAAGATTATTATTATTAGTAGTGGTGGTTAGGTGGAGAAGACATTTGACACAAAATTTGTTAATAATCAAGCAATTCTTATTTGACAATAACAATCAATGTCATCAGAATGTCAGACTGTAATGTTTACGTCAAAGTGTCATCTCTACATGCCATTAATATCGGCGAGTATTTTAGTAGGATTTAATATTAGCCAATTAATAGTAATTTATAGCTACAGTTTGCTATCAAATTTTATTGCTATTTATTGTTGCTATTTTTATCGCGACTTCATATTATGCGAATTATAATTAGCACTGCTTTTGCTACTTAAAAATAATTTTATATATTTTTAAAAATAAATAACTTTGCAGTAAACATAAAATTTGTGTTCAATTTTACAAATAAAATGGAATTGGAACAAAAATTTGCTAAAATGATTTGATTTTCCTTCAGTACTTAAAATTATTGAGAAAAAAAAAGAAAGAAAAAATTATATTATATTATATTATATTATATTATATTTTTCAAACAGAACACTTTTTTATTTTGCTCTGTATGTGATTTTTTTTGTATTTTTTGTTATTACCTTTATGCAATTTGAGATGCAAATATTGTAAGTGCACCTAATATGCACCAACTCTTCACCAAGTATTTTAATTGTGCATTTATTAAGAAAATATATTTTGCACAATAAAATTATCACACCGTACCTAAAAAGGAACATATTATTCGACTTAATTAAAAAAAAATTCTATAATTTTTAAGAAATATAAATTCATATTAAAAATGTTACAAATTTTCTAAAAAAAAATTAAATTATTTAATAAATCTTATGTACAAAAACATAGACATATCAAATAAAGTGAACATTCATATTAAATAAGAAGTAATTCAAAATTATTTCCAAACATCTAAGATAAATTAATTTATAATAGAACGAATTTCTGTGTCAAATTGCAGATTACCCAACTGTGTGATTATCATGACCTCTAGAAAACTTATTTTTTCTTTAGGTAGGTTGTAATATGTAGTCCTACTACAAACGAATTTAAAATCAAAGAATCAGCTGTATCCATAACTCTATTTATTACGTCATAATTTTAGATACCAAAGGACACTAAACGATTTGAGTATTTTTAGGGACGCCGCTGGAACAAGATATGAATATAATAGCTGCGAAAATGTCTAAAAAATGTAAAGTTTTGAGAATTTATTTTTTTAATATACTTATTGACTTATTGACTAGAAATATTCTTATCGGGCATTTAAAAGCCTAAAACCTCTAGAAAATATCTGTAAAAATTTTTGGAATGTTGTAATGCTGGTTTTGCGCAAAAATTGTATACACATTTCTGAGGGCGACATTTCAAGGTAATATAAAAAAAAAACACTTTATTCTTTTGTCAATATTTTGTAGATCCAACTGACTTAATATTACATGTTTTAAGGTGATTTTAGTTAATTATTTAAATCATTATTAATTATTTAAATTTATCCCAACCATTAACAACATGTGATTAACATAGTGGTTAAATCAAAAAATACTTTTTGACCAAGAATTGAAGTGATAGAAATTTTATTTCTTATGTTATTTTCAATACACTCCTAAAAATAAAAAAAATTATGTAAATCCATATTTCTTGGAGTATAATCGAAGTACTTTTCACACTGGCAACACACGACAGGATAAAAATCTAAAAAGCGCATGTGAAAGCTTTATGGACGGATGGTCCACTAGAACAAAACGCAAAAGAATGATCAGTACTCTCTACTCACATTAGTAGCACGAATGATTTGAAATAACAACGCTGCCGCGTTACTTTTATTCGTCAATCTCTTAAAAACTGAAACACACCGTTAAATTGTCCATCCTGTTTAATGATACTTGCCAATAAAAATTTAATTTTTTTTAAGTTCTCGCCTTAAGAAACAAGCTATACAGTTCCTTGTCGTCATTATGACAAGTAAGTTCGGAAATTGAAACTATTTTTGACAAATTGTTGTAAAAACCGATTCGAAAACCAAATTAACAGTATCCAACCACAAAATTATAGTTGATTATACGAATGGATTGTACAATACGAAATCGACTAGATAGAGGTAAAGTGGCGTATTTTGGTGCGTAATTTACAACTATCTACCCTACAAATTGGAATTACTAAGTTTTTTCGGGCTTGTGCGCCCATCATCACCTTGTTTGTTTAAAATACAGACCTGTATTTTATATTTAATATTTTAATGAGATTCTGACATAATACATGCCCCAAAATCGACGAGAAAGCCACATTTACACACAAAATAAAGCGGCCATGAAATAAAAGCATTATTACGTCAAACCGTTTTGACGCATTTATTAAATATTAGACTTTAATTTATGTTTTATTTTGGTAGCTAATTATTACAGTAGCAAAAAAAAACATTTTAAAAATAAATGTAAAAAAAAATATTACCACTAATCAAAAAGGAAACAATTGAGAACCTATGAGAAACACACTTATTAAATTAATATTGAAAATATAAAATTTATTTGATCCCGTAAAATAGGTAATAACACAGCCCAGAATCATGGAAACTGTTCAAATTGAAAACCATCTGCTTCAATCTATTTAACTATAAGCCTTCGCAATTTGAATAGTGCACATTGAATGAACCGAGCAGGAATTGCTGCAATTTCTCGAACTGAATTGAGTCGTAGATTTTGTAAATACTCCCATAAGAAGTAATCCAGTGGATTTATATCTGGACATCTTACTGGCCATTGCATACATGCAAGATTTCCTATGCACTTATTTGGAAAACCGTGACTTGTAAAAGTCATTATCTGCTTCAAAGATTATTTTGGAGCCAGTTAGAGAATTCTAGCCCGCATAATTTCATTACTACGTCTAAGCTTTTGTAGGGATTACAGTGGTTTGGATATAATATCCCCCATATCCGCATTCTCGGAATTTGCAGTTCATTTTCGATACGACTGATCGATCCTCGAGGTGTATTATTAAGCTAAAGTTACTAACAAAATTAAAAAAACAATTTGAGATCTATATTGTTACTATATTTATAATATTATCTTGTTCAGTAGGATCAATTCCGGAACCAAACTCATTTCTATCCAATTCTGGATAATTCCGGAGTTTCTGAAAGAATTTGTAACAAATACGCAAAATATCGCGTTTTTTTCGTTTTGAAAGCACCCTCTTTACTACCACATCTCAAAGAGCTCTTTCGAAATGGTAAATAAAAATTGCAGGTCTGCACTAAAAAAGATTAAGTGGATCATGGGCACAAAAAACCGAAACGTCAAGTTGCAACGAGAAAGGGCCATTTGTTTTAAAAAAAAATTGAAATTAAGGCCTGTAAAAAATTCAAAAGTCAAAATTTTTCAAGCACATCCTCAGCAATGTCTAAAGCAAGTTTAAGAGAAATTAAGATTTAAAGAGGAAAGCAAAATTAATACAGTAAACAGTAAATTATCCAAAAAATTTTCTCGTTATTATAATTTTAAACTTTGGTAATTTGTACATTTTTAGCCCTTTGCGTAATACCAGGGATAAAATGGACCGCCTAAAAATTCTAAAAAAAAGGCTATTACGTATTATTATAACCGAATCATAATTAATTTATAGAAAGTGTTATTTTTTGGATAATTTTATGCACTTAGCGTAAGGCCAGAGGTTTCAAAAATCTTATAAATAGCAATAATAAATTTTTTAATAGATAGAAAAATAGTTACTCATCAGTAACGTTTTTTTTTAAATATATTTTTTTAGTAAATAATTATAATTATGATATTTTATAAATTAGGGAAAGAGGACCCGACGCTAAATTTTGGGAAAATTTAGTTAAAATTAGTCAAAAATAAATCGACTTGACGGTTAAAAGCCCCAAAAAATAACAAAAAGCTTAAGTGGGTCTCTCTGCCCGACCCTCCCCTACACGATTTGGGAGATTTTTTACTTTCTTTTTTGTTAAATGTTCCTTTCGAGAAAAAAATTACCCTCGTTCACGTTCGGATCGTCCGATCCCACCCGAGCGTCCTCGACCGGTCGAGGATTTCGTTCCGCTTTATCGTCGCACTCGACTCGACTCTCGGGCGTCGCGGCGCCGTCGGTTCCGTTTTCGTGCGACATTTTGCACCGATTTTCCCGCTCAACGACGGCCAGGGTCCTGCGCGCACGCGCGCATCGAACGTCACCGAAAACGGCACAGAATAAACCCGCGGGCGTTTTTCGTCAATTCGTTCGATCACAGAGCGTAGAACTGACGTGCGATCGAGTCGGATCGCGGTAGGCCGGTCGTCGCCGTTCACTTGTCATCCTAGGGTGGTGGTGGGTGGGGTGGTGTCGCGGTCACTCGATTTGAGTTGCTCAAGGCTCTCTCTCCCCCCGCCGTGACAATTTCTAAACTCGGGGGGCGGCGGCCATTTGATTTGCCCTTGTCGAAAAAAATCGAAAGTCGAAAATCTAGGGTCCGGCGCCGACTTGGATTGGCTGGAACGTGTCTGTCCGAAGCCAGTTGGCCGTGTCGCGAAAAAAATGAGCGTCGTTGCTGCGGACAACTGGCCTACTAGGTCGTAGCAATTATCTTTGATTTGTTTGGGTTAGCTTTTTTTATTCCTTTTTGATTGTTAGTGTCAGAGCTATGCAATGAAAAAATAATTCATTACATTGGTTGAATTTGAGATGTCAGTTTGACTTGTGAAATTTATAAAATAACACTCACGATACTGATTCCTACTTTTTGAAAACAGGTTTTGAGTGTTTTTTTTGCTATAATAGTTTTTGTAGTTTACGGAATATCGAAATTTGCTACATAACCAAAAAACTCAATATGGCGTCTCAGGGCAAACAAAGAAAGTAAATAACGTTTCTTTATAGTCTGCGGCTTGTGTAGGAAAGCAAAACTGTATTTTTTTCCGTTAGTATAATAATTTTATGTTAATTTTGACACTCAAAAAACACTAATCTGTCTGGAAATTCAGCTAGTTGACGCCACTTTGCACTTATTAGAGACCGACTTCATTTATCACAAAAGAGTAGTGTTTTTCCTCTTCCTTGTGATATGCTTGGACTACCATATGTTCACTAGAAAATCCCCAATGGTTTTGTTCTGAATGCTATTTTTCTTGGGTAGCAAATTGTTTTTACCAAAGACAGCGATGGTTTGTTTTTATTTGTCTCACGTTGGGCTTTTGATTTTGATTCCCAGAAAAATTTATTCCTTTTGAAACTTCAATTAATACCGAACATGATTTCCCTAGATCATATCATCAAATCGTTTCACTTAATGAAGAGCCTGGTATGTATGTTCACGCTGCTTTTACCCTAATGTTTTTCATAAACAGGAACAAGAGATAATGATGGCTTTTGCCACACCACTGAAAATTCAGTACATTACATCATTTCTTTTTTGTGATGGGCATACTCGGCACCAAACATCTAAAGGTTTCAAAAGACTTTTTTGTGAATGTTTTACCTGTAACAATAAACCAATTAGATACCTCAAATATTGCCAAAATAATTCATGTGCATGTGCATGGTCCGTTGCATCAAAATTAGTGAACCAATGGTAGTATACACTTCATAAACTTCCTGTACTCAACATTTCCATCAATTGGGAATTATGATGTAAGAATCGATAATCAAAATCTATTAAAAAATAAAATATTATCTTGACTACTACAACAAAAATGCAATTTCTTATAGCAGAATCCAAAAACAAAGCCAGATTCAAAGTACCTATAAGCTTGCAAACACTTAAAAGTCTTGACGTGCTCCTTAGTGTAAAAGCTATGGGAAAACCCCAAATAGCATATGATATCTATATCGGTGAATGGTGGAATTCCATTAATTGAATAGTCTAGATTATCCATGTCGAACATAAATGGATCTAAACAATCTACTAATAGTAGTTCCATCTGAGATCTAAAAAAAATCATAATGTAAACAAAACAGAATTTTTAAGTTTTTTACATTACCAAAATCGGGAATTTCCTGCAAAATTTATATTAAATAATTGCTCTCCACCTGAAAATAACTAGCAAACGAAATTGGGATTTGGAATTTTTGAAATCATTGTAAAATCAATGAAATCTGTAGGATCTTATGTTTCTATGAAATCTGGTATACTAATTTTGAAAAGTGTTTTGTCCTCGATTTTATTTAACTGAGCTTTTAATATGTTGATTTTCTTGTGCTAAATTTTGCAGTCAATATGCAAACTAAAGGTTGCCAATAGAAACATACATTTTTTATTTTCAGGTTCGCGCCAGAGTGGTAACTATCGATTTTATTTTTCCAATTTTTTTTATATATCAAGATATTACTGCCATCTTTAATTGGATTGATAATTTTAAACTAGTAGTTGAACGTTTGGCAAAATAAGAAACAGGCTATTCATAAAATTCAAAAATGTTTCTTGATGAAACCCAATATTTTCATTATAGGCAGTTGGATTATATGAAGACATATCCGCTTCTGGTTGTATGTTTTTTGTACATATTCATACAATGAACTGTTAAACAAACAGAAAATATACAGGATTGGTCAAAAAGTTAGATGTTGATACAAAGTTCCTTTTTTGTTATGGAACAGCTTTTTTTTAAATCCATTTTCGAATTCTGAGAAAATTTTTATGAGCAAGAATAAAAAACCAAACGAGAGGTCAAGAAATAGCTGTTCAACTAAAAATATCCAGAAAGTCCCACTACAAGATTCACAGTGAATAAAATTGCTAGAAAATTTATAGAAATTTATAGAACAGCTTTGAGTGTATTACAAAAAGAAAAATATCATTCGCATAATATTACATTACTACAGATGATAGTTTTGTGAATTTATGGTGGAAATGTTCAACTTATATCCATTTTTTCATCGTCATATAATGTGCAGCGATAAAGCCACGTTTTGTTTAAATGGTACGGTAAATAAACAAAATTGTAGATATTGGAGCACAAATAACTCCCGGTGGATCCCCAAAAAATAATTATTCGGCAGTGATTTTGAATAACAAAATTATTGGACCTTATATTTTAGATGAAAATCTTACTTATGTTTAGTTTCTTTCCTAAATACAGCTTGATATGCCACATAGACAGAATTGGTTGGTTGCCCGAGAAGTGCATGAATCTTTAAATACTAACAAATAAATAATAAAAATAAATAATTATAAATTTTCTGAATAAATAAGTAAAATAATTAGCTTAATTCGTAAAAAGTAATTTCTCTCTTTCAAATAAAAACTGCTGGCGGCTTCAGAAGCGAAAATTAACGCTTTTTTATTATATCTATAAGAAATTTTTGAAAAACGTATTCATGTTTTTCTCTACATATTTCCAGAAGCAGTCAAAATTTTATGTTAAATTAAATTAAAAGGTAATAGGAATTACTTCATAACATTGACAAAGTTTACAATTCATCCTAGAAATAAAGGAAACGATTAACTCATTAAAAAATCTTTGTACCCCAGGCATCGATGGTGTAACAAAAAAAGATATGCATTCACTAATCCATATCATTGGACAAAAAATGGTAGAACTTACTAATAATGTCCTGCAAACTGGTAGCTACCCTGATGTGGCTAAAATTATACCGATATACATAAAAGGAGCGCACGACGAAATGAATAACTACAGGCCAATCTCTCTAGTTAGCACTTTGTCCAAGGTACTGGAAAAATTATTAAGGCAAGATTAATAAAATTTATCTAAGCTAAAATTAAATTTAACAACCATCAATATGGATTCCAAAGTAAAAGTAGTACACAAGGAGTTGATATGCTGGAATTTATGACCAATGAATTGGATAAGAACAAATATGTTATAACAGTGTTTATTGATCTTCAAAAGGCGTTCAATATACAGCTAATGATGAACAAATTAAATAAAGTGGGACTTCGTGGGGTGTGCTACTACTTGATTAAATCTTATTCTACAGCTAGAGAGTACTGTACAACAATAAATAATGAAAGCAGTGAACGACTTATTTCCAACGTCGGTATTGCTCAGGGATCGGTATTAGTGCCACTACTATTTTCGATGCATGTACAAAGCCTAAAATATGCACTGATAATACTGCATTAGTTTACTCGGGTGATAGTGCGGAACAGCTTGAAGAACTTATTAATAAAGATTTACAGCAGTATTTTGAGTGGCTGCTCTATAACAGACCTTCCTTAAACGCCCATAAAATGAAATAAAATATGATATTTAAACAGACAGGAAAAGCACCTTGTAACCTAAATATAAAAATAAATGAGGCGGCAGTTAAAAGAGCGTGTGAATATAAATACCTAGGGCAAACTATCTCTGAAAATCTAACTTGGGATAAACATATTGAAACTGTAATTGACAAAACTGTACCAATGCTAGATGCAATAAAAAGATGTTCGCATCAACTCAACCAAAAACAAGACAGTTGCTTTATAATAGCGTCGTGGAGCCACACCTGAGATACTTGTTAACATGCTGGGGAAACACCAGTATAGCAGGTAAATAAATCACAACGGCTGCAAAATAAAGCACAAACCTACATTATTTAAAAATATGTGAACTTAAGATACTAGAACAAACAAAATTAATTTACTTAATTCAAAACAAACTGATTGAAACAAATGTGAAACTGACTGGAAATGGACACTGTTGCAGTTACAGCACAAGAAACAATGATAAGTTAAGAAATGTATACGCAAGGATCAAAAAGAAATAAGACTCGCTAATATACAGAAGCATTCTAGTGTTTAATAAAATACGGCAAACTCTATTAAAGGGCACTACCAAGAAAATGTGTCATAACCTTAAAGACTTTAAAACAAAAAATAGAATATAGAATATTAACAAATAAATTATTTTTTTGTTGGTACTGTTTTTGTTTAAAGGTGTTAAGAACCTATTAGTTTTTCGTTGCTATATGTGAAACCCCGCTATGTGTGAACACGCCAGAGTCACGTGACTATCATGCATCAATCACGGTCCAAGTGCGTGCCGGACCGTTTGTGCAACCGAAGGGATGCCGCCCGGCGCGCCAGTACCGAACTGACCACCACAAAGGTAAGTGCGTTTGAACGGTACGAGAGCAAGATACAGTCCACACACGAAGGTGTATAGAGGTTCTATACAAGAGGTCTGAAATAAATTGTTATTAAAAAAAAACAATTTGTTAACAATTTCAACTACTATGTATTGTCTACTACTAAAGTGGCACTAATCAAATTTCTTACATAAAGTTAT